TTGTACTTAGTCGAGTTCACCTGAAAATAAGAAGACAAAAAAGAAACTATTTTTTTAAAGCTTTTGGTTTATTTAAACACCACCATCTCCCAAATTGAATGTTTTATGTCTTAGAAGTTTTTTAATGTCTATCATCAAAAGTGAATAAAGACCAATCGCAAAAAGGACCAGATCTGTGCTTGTGGTCATTAAATGTTTGAATGTTTGTGTGTGTGTGTGCACGTGCGTGTGCACAGAGGTGTCTTTCGGGCTATGGTGGGGAGAGAAGATAGGAAAACGGGATTATTCTAAAGTGAATACATGTTAGGATGAGACCATGTCATGATTTAGAGAGACTCAAGTCATGATTTATTCCATACCAAATGGTTTATTACACACTACTCTCAGACAGTTAGTGGCAGAAGAATGGGCTTGTGGCATCATTTCCCCTCACTGTAAGAATACTCATCACATTTTATTTAACTTCTGATTTTTTTAATCACTTCATTTTGATGAGGAGTATTTTCTTGGATGGTTGGGGACAGTCACCATGGTTTTAAGAGATGAAGGTACAAAGGAACTTATTTCCACTGGCCCTTCTCATAGTCCCACTTAGCGGAGAAGCCCTGCACTGGGTTCACTCGCATGTCCAACATCCTCTTCACCTGCTTAGCCTCCCACTCTTCATCAAACGTACGAGGAGGATGAGGATAGACTGATGAAGGAAGAGGGGAAAAAACTCAGTATTAGCTCAATACTCAATTTTGCAATGGTCTACAAATGTCCTATTTCTGTCATTATTTATACATTTCTCTCACACTACCTATAGCAAAGAAACAATATAAATTTTGTTCTATATTTAAGCATCAAAAGGAGCAAACAAACCCAAAAAATATGCCAATATTAATGCTTTTGTTTTTTTAGTTCACTGAAACTCAAGACATGATTGGTTCTCCTTACCATAGATGCGCTGCCAGAGCACCACCAGGCCAGTGAAACCGATGAAAAAGAAGATTCCACCCAGCACAGTCTTCCACTCACTGGAGGGCTTCTTCATCTCTGCATACGTGTCTTTAAACATAATCCTGTACACTGAGGCACACAACAAAAACTGGCTGATGATTGAATAATGTGGGAGTACAAATAAATGTGAATTATTGGCAGCTTATTCACACAGAAAATGAGAGAAAATCTAACCTTTAAAGTAAATATTACTAAGAAAATAGAGAGAAAATCAAATATTTAACAAAACCACATGTCAATTATTGGCACCCCTAAAAATTCCTAGGTTTTTAGAATTATAAATTATGTCTTTTCATTTAAGTTGTGAACGCTTCAACGGCCTTTGGGCCTAACAGACCATCTCTCCCCAATGTCTCACTCTTATATGCCATCTCTATGTCTTTACTGCTGTGTTTAATTGTAAGTTAGTTGCTTTCGCTGTCACAGTGGCTGAAGCTGCTCATCACTCAGTGAGGCCACCTGCTGCTCTGCACATTACAGTGACCAGAAGCAAACATACTTGGCTTCAAAATGCATTTTATTCAAAAAGTTGAACATGTTTTCTGTCTGATATTGATATTACTAAGAAATTAGGGAAAAAAAAAAAATCAAATATTTAACAAAACCACATGTCAATTATTGGCACCCCTAGAAATAAAAAGGAACAATGTTATATTAACAATAAATATATATCTCTATATTATATATATATATATAAAAACACACACACGTGTGTATATATCTCTTGATATTGCATGGGCAAGAGTACAGTTATACTGAATATTGGCACAGCTGTGATTCAGAGAAATGGACATTATAATCAGGATAAAATACAAACAGGCAATTTTCTCCTCCTTCGAAAGGTTGTTCCATGGTCCTTTCTCCTTCTGTTTCAGACTCTCCTCAGTAGCAGTAAGGGAATTGTTGTAAGGTCTGTCTGGTAGCGGGGAATCCCGACGATCCCAGTACATGGGCAGAGACATGTCAGCCTGCTGTGACACTTTTGAGTCAGAATGGAGGAAAACATGATCAATGCAACCGGGTAAAAGAATAACTTGCAGACTCTGATGCCTTCAGAGTTGCTTTTACTGCACCCTAAGACAAGAGCATCACCTACTGGATAAATAACTAACACTAGCCACTTTATAGCAACATAAAACTGCTTGATCAGTACAGCTAGCACAAAGCATAGAGTGTAATATAACCATTACCGTGGCCATGGCTGGCCATCCTGGTACTAGTGGTGCTGAGAGCTGCCACTGCCCTTCTGGACAACAGCGTTCCCAGTCGTCCTGCAGTCAGGCACAGCATCTGACACACAAAGGATGAACATACACACATAATTTAATCATCTTCAGAAGGATTTACTTAATCTAATCCACATGCAATCTTCTTCAGTCTGGATACCTAATCATTTATGGATCACAGCATTAACCTTCAATTTTAGGTTGCAAGAAGTGAAAAGATGAATAACAGTTCTTTCTTTCTGAACATCAGCCTGGCCTGTGTGCCATTACAGCATGTGGATCTGTAAGACACCATGTTAGTACACAAAACTACTTAATCGCCTAGCTGGACATTGTTCAGTGTTAGGATCACTTTTTATCTTTCAGCATGGGTTCCTCTGAGGACGGCAAACTATGTGCCTTGGACATGTAAAGAAAGTAAAGAGATGTAAAAGCGATTGTTTTTAGTGGACATACACATGCCTGCGCCACAAGACCCAACTAAAATGGGCGAATCTGGCATTAGTTCAAGTGCAAGCTATGCACAAGAATAAACAGCTCGCTCTTACTCCATTAACCAGAACAACATGTCGGAAATCTACAAATCTCAAAGAATTCGTTTTCCTGATATACTAGAGGACATGCATCTGATGGCAGATGTATTGTCTAAACCAGATTATAGTTTTTTCCCCCCTCCTCATGGTATTATGAAAGAAAGAGCATGTAACACTCACAGTGTACTACACTAAAACCCAACGCACGTCCTAGAAATCGACAAAAACAACAAACAAACAAACAAACAAAAACAAACCCTGCAGCTAGAACACTTGTTTGCTTTCCCCCCTGCTGCCATTAGAACATGGACTTTTGCCTTTTTGCAGTACCAACAACAATGTTTTCATCATTATTCTGCATTATTTTAATAAATAAGCTGCACTAATTTCCTTCATCTTCATACAAGTTGTACAGCAAACCAAAGCAGCCTTCATTAAAATTAAATATGCGCCACAACTTCGCATTAAAACAGCACTACACTTCACAAACATCCTCTTTGGAGGAAATCTAAATGAATGTACTCACGGATACCCTGAGAATCTGGACCACAGGAATGGAAATAAACCGCAAACAAACGTGCCAAAGTCACAAGTTGACTAATCCTCTAATCCTCCTCGAGCGCAAGCCTAGCCCCTAAACTACTGCGGACTGGGTTGCCAGATTGAAATCACAATCTCTGTCCAATCACGGTGATCCAACAGATCCATGGTCAAACCCATTACAATTATAAATGCAACAAGTTATACCTACTGTATACATCCTACTGAGAACCTTTTCCCGAGGTTGATAAAATTAATTAAAAATAACATGTTGAAAGGTAAACATAGTCCAATCTGGCAACATAGTGGCCACCACTCAGGCCTGATAGAAACGTGGAAGGGAGATAGCTTCTGATTCGACTGTGATCGAGTCTAATTAACCCATTTCATCCCAGCTCTGAGTGCACTACATGACTATACCCGCTGAGTGCCACAAACCCTGTGCTGTCTTTTCAAAACTAGTTTAAAAATGTTTAATTTACTCACTTTCTTTATACTTCCTTTCCTTTTCAGAGGTAACCATACACGCTTTAATTGCTAAATTGCTCTGGTCACGTGACTAATTACGAATTCAAAACAACCTAATTTAATTTCTCGGGTGCCTTTCATTTAAAAAAAAAAAGAGTCAATCTTAATCTAATACTTTATTAGATTAAATCATTTAAATGAGACATTTAAAAAGGTTAAATATAAAAGTTTAAATGAACTGAAGAGGCAAAACAGCTCTGATTTCATCTCTTGTTCTGAGAAGCTCAGGGGTGAAGTTTCAGAGAACTGAGGAAGTGGAAGAGAGCTAAACAGGCAGCCCAAGAAATGCAGAAAAAACACGAAAGAATCAGTAGTAAGGGAGACGAAGAGTTGGCAACACACAGGGAGAAATAAGGCTGGGGTTAGCTGAGAGATTGCCAGAATGATGGTGTTTATCCTCAGCTGCTAAGCAGCCAGACTTGATTCACTTCTTCCAGCTCTGTCATAGAAACAAAACAAATTTGCCAAATGAAATATTCAAACCCAGGACACTAATCCCAGTGTGATTAAAATATTAGATTAAAATTAGGTGTGAAATATCTCTTTCTGGCAACACAGCTCTGGGTCATTTAAGGTCCCTGCTGGCAAACAGATTTCACCACCTGCTGCAAATGAAACGCAAACCCTTGGCCTGCCACAGTGTTTTAACCAGTGCTACCGGAGTTATGAGCTACAAGTTACTCAGCAAACATGTACATCTACTAGATAGTTACACCAGAGCATGGGTTCCCAACCCTGGTCCAAGGAGAACCCCCTGTCCTCCACATTTCAGTGTTTTTCCTGCTCCCATCACACCCATTTCAATGAATCAGTTATTTATCAAACCAGGGTTGGGATCTTGTGCATATTTTTAGATGCATTAGGCTACAAACTACATGGCAAAAGTACATTGTAAAATTTAGAACCTTTAAGGGTTCTGTGGTTGTTCCTCTGGGGAATCCTTAAAGGTTCTATGTAGAACCCTACACCTACAACAGAGTGTTTCCTCATCAGAAAGGGTTCCCAGTAGAACCCTTTTGGGAGGCTGAGAACCCTTTTGTTTCCTTAAAGAGTACCAAATACCAAGACAGTTTAACTAAAACGCCTGACATGTTCTAGGTATTAACAAGAAAATCATTTGGAGTTTGGACCACACATTTACCCAGTTAATACATATAGGCTCTATATAAAGGGCACGGTGGTTTGGCGGTTAGCATGTTTGCCTCGCAACTACAGAGTTGGGGTTTCGAATCCCGCCTGTGCCCCGTGTGTGCGGAGTTTGCATGTTCTCCCCATGCTTCAGGGGTTTCCTCTGGGTACTCTGGTTTCCTCCTCCAGTCCAAAGACATTGTTGTAGACTGACTGGCATTTCCAAATTGTCCGTAATGTGTGATTGTGCCCTGCGATGGGTTGGCACCCCGTCAAGGGTGTCCCCTGCCTTGTGCCCCAAGTTCTCTGGGATATAGGCTCCCCTGTGACCCTATGTAGGATGAGCAGTACAGAATGAAGGACTCTATATAAAGTATCTTGATTAGGGGCACCTCTTAATCTAACTACCTATAAGAATAATTATCGAAAGAAGCTGCCTGAAATTTTTTCCTCCAGAACACACAATAAAAATGTCCAGTTGTCTCAAATAATAATCTCTCTAACACATATGATTCAACTAACCAGATAATTAATAGTGGGTTGTGTTAGAGTGGGTTAAACACTAAAATATGCAGGACAGGGGGTTCTCCAGGACCAGGGTTGAGAACCGTATATAACACAACATCAAGTATCCTACAGCAGCAAATGACAATGACGACTCAGTGAACAAAACCTGCTGGTTGAAATGTAATTATAGCTGATGGATAACAAAAACTGATGAAGCACTAAGTTTAGACACAAACATAACAGAGACAGAAAAAACTCCCATTATTTCTCCTTTGCCCCTGACCTACAAGGTCTTCATCATGCCTTCAGAGAAATTAATCCAAATTCTGACAGTATGAACTGTTTCAGGACCGTGGTAAATATAGACTTAGAGACAGAGAGGAAGTAAGTTTCCATCAAGGTATTGTCTCTAATGGCTTCTTAAAATAGTCTTAGCAGTTTGTATGTGAATACAAAACAAACATCCAATTTAATAGATTTTAAAGTCCATCTTTTTTCTTTAAATTAGAGTTTTTGCACAGTTTAAGGAGCAAAGGCATGGTGGCTTAGTGGTTAGCACTTGCACCTCAGGGGTTGGGGGTTTGAATCCCATCTCTGCCCTGTGTGCACGGAGTTTACGTGTTCTCCCCTTGCTTTGGTGGTTTCCTCTGGGTACTCCGGTTTCCTCCCCCAGTCCAAAGACATGTGTTGTACGCTGACTGGCATTTCCAAATTGTCTGAGTGTGTGTGATTGTGCCCTGCGATGGGTTGGTGTCCCCTGCCTTGTGCCCCGAGTCACCTGGGATAGACTCCAGGCTTCCTTGCAACCCTGTGTAGGATAAGCAGTACAGAGAATGGATGAGATGGACACAGTTTAAGGGTTTTTCTGTTGTCCTGCTTGGAACCTGATAGGAGCGTTTCTCTATCAGAAAAGGTTCCGAGCAGAAACTTTTTATTTTTTACGAAACTATCCAATAAACTCTTAAAGAACCCTAAGAGAGTAGAAAGCTTACTACGGTTATTTCTTTCTTCATTTGCTACAATATTAAAGACATAACATTGTCATGTGTCACGACGTTTCTTTTTAATAACATGCCATTACCTACTCTAGCCTCTAGGTGGCAGCAATTAGCCAATTTAAAATAAAGGTTCGTTAGACACCAGTTCTGGGAAATGCATACCACCACTAGGAGTGTGTGTTCCTCAGTGTCATATCTCTCTAGTGGCTTTCAGTAATAACCAATCTTTACATATGGCCTGTTTAAGTACACTGTTTGAGAAAAAGCCTCCTTTAAGGGTTCTTTGAATAGTTTAGTGTTCTCTGAGGATCTTTTCTATAACATTCTGTTCTAGGGTTCTCCAAAGAGATAACCGAACCCCTTACGGTTTCTAGATTTAACCTTTTTTTTGAATGTAGGTGGAATATTTGGATGCAGGCAGATGTGATTAATGCTGTAATGTAGGTTTAATGACTGGTTTATTCCCACAGTGTTTCCTCTTTGAGACATGCCTTGATCTGAAACAGGGAATCTGAAATAGCCTAGATATAGACCTTTCAAGTTGTGCTATGTCAGTACACTATTTTTTTTTTTTACAACCGTCTTCTATGTTTAAAGGACAATGGTACCAGCGTAACTATTTCTACCTTATTTTGCTAAACTGCTGAAAGCTTAGAGACCCACTTAATGAGGTCTAAATAAGAGTCCAAATAACAAAATCATTTTAATAACTAAACAATTACTGGAGTGTTATGCATCATTTATAATGTCATCTTCTTGATAACAGGAGTTTTTGGGTTATCATTGGATTGTAGGGTTATTAAGTATGAAATGGAAATGTTCTGATATTTGTGTTTTATGTGTACATGGAAACATACACTATAATCTCAAAAAGAAATATATTTGATAAATATTTATTTTAATATGAAATAAACGATTGTACAGTTAGCCTGTTGAGTTTGTTTAGTGTTATTTAGCTTGTTCTTGTAATGCAGATTATTCAAGAATAAACTAGTTCACGGAAAACACGTTAGGCTTTGAGTCTTTGAGTCTTTCAGGGATCTTTCCGAGTGTAAAATTGGGGTTCTCTGATCAGCTTCCTGATGTCACATGGTTTGCAGACGGTACCATTGACAGCTGGCAGAACAAAACCCATAATCGATTTAGACACGACAAACTCGCCCCATCTCCCCCCCACAGAACCTGGCACGTGTCCCCATCAGCTTCCCCCTAAATATAGATTAAACCGAGAACATCCTCACCCCTCCTTCCAGTCGTTACCCCCATTGTTATCACTCAGTCCCACAAGGTCTCCCTTCCTCCCACTCAGCCTTATTATAATCTCAAATTTAGCATTTTTCACTCTCTGGAGGAAACACGCACACCATTTGTCTTCGTCCCCTTCTCCTCTCACATTGTCCTGTCTCTTCACACAACAATAAAAGAGCTGAGATGAAGATTGAAAGAGAAATTAGCCCCTTGACCGATAGTTTGGAGTCAGTCTGGGCCTCAGTGATGGGACTGTCCATGCATGCAGTCTGAACAGACAGAACCGCAACAACAGCACTGCACATGACAGGACGCCCACTTCAACAAAAGCATGTGACAGCCGTTTTACGAATATAATGAGTATTCAACAGACTCCTAACTGACAGGCGTCTCCCAATGGCAGGAGTCTCTTACCACTCACCAGGCCTGTCCTTCACATGGATGCTCATTGCAAACTGGCCAAGAGAAACTCACGGTCTGTTTATTTATGTGAATGTGGTAGAGGAGCTAAATGCAGAACGTGCCATGCAGGCCCCACATTGTCAAGTATGTAAGTGTAGCAATTTTTGTAAAGTGTATATCCATACCATACATATATACACATACAGTATAGACTCTGTGAACTACAGATACTACAATAGACACACCTTGCATAACAGCATTAATATATAAGCACATATACTAGCCCTTATAAGCACTACACACACATAGCTGTAAATTAAACCATTTCCCCCTACCAACATGTGCAGTGTCTTTTGACTATAAATCAAACAAAACCATAGAGTCAAAGCCTAATGATTTTGCCATTAGCACTATATATTGTAAGACATGGCAAAATGTGATATGTATGTATAACATAAGTAAGCCATAAATAGCTCAGACTCACATTATGTCTGGAGAAAGTGTTCAAATGCTAGAGATAATCATTATTATTTGCTGTTTTTCTGTTCTAAAAAGTACAACTGACCTCATACTATGCTAAAAGCGGGGACTGGTAATAGTTTATTTCTAGCAGTGGGCTGACATGAAGACATGGTACAGTATTTTAAGAAAGCATATGGTTTTAACCAACACTTGTGGGAGAAGCTGTAACAGGCCACATAGGCAGAGACATGCTGGTGTGTTAGTAAGGGATCATTTAACTTTTTTTTTTTTTTTTAAACACAACCTAATCGTGCACATACACATACTTATTTGTTTTTTTTTTGTTTGGTTTTTTTTTCAGAGAGACTTTCAAGTGGTCAAGTGTCAGTTATGTGATTTGAACTTAAAATCCTCTAATCACTAGCACACAACCATAACAATTGAGCTTGTAATACATTAAGCTGAATTTACTAGGTTTCATAATAAACATTATGAGAGATAAACCCACCAGTGGCCCTAAACAGTAAATTTTTATTTAAGTAATGCATATAACTTTCATAAATTGTCATAAATTTGGTACTCAGCAGTTGATGCCCTGGGCCATTAAGCTATGGTTTGGACAATGAGAAATGTTACTGCTTTCAGCAAAGCTCCAAAATGTTAATTTTACATCATTTTGCATAAAAGTGGAAATTTGGATGTAAATGTAAATTTGCAGTCAGGAGAATGAGGGTTTCCATACACTTGTTTTAACAAATTTTAAATTTGTGCATAAGGAATCCTGAATGCAAACATGTCCAATTTAAAAATTAAATTTTCTGCACCACCTGTATGGTGCCCTGTGATGGACTGGCATCCCATCTAGGGTGTATTCCCATCTTATGCCCAGGCTCTGGATCCACTGCAACCCTAACCAAGATAAAGTGGATAATGAAGATGAATATATGTATGAAGATGAATATATGCGGATTATGCCATCTTCTTATGCCCTGTTCAGTTTTTTTCTATGAATAGTTGATAGTATCACACAATCATTCATATTTTTCTTTTGCTGTTCTTTCCAAAAATCTGCTTAAAACATGAGCAGTATGTGTGTGGGAGGTGCAAGTACTAGTTTCCAAAACCTGAGATGGCATCAAGCATATAACATGAGCCAGTCCTGTGTTTGCCGGTGTCACCAGTTTACTGGCTGGTCTTCATCTCACTGTTTCTCTTCTGGTACAGCCTGTTTGAATGCTGGCATCACAAAAGAGCCTGAGGCATGCTGGGTAAATGGGTCACTCTCTGTAGTAGCCTGTTCTGAGAGCCTTGTTTGCTTTCTGTTGCTCATTTTGTGTGCTCACCACAGCTTTTTGTTGGGTCCTGAGCTGTACCTCCTCTCCCCATTTCTGCTTCAATAGCAGTAATGTCCTGAGCAGAATGTGTGTGTGTGTATAGAGCCTTTATAACCTCACTTATCCACTCATTAGAGCTCCTCCATCTTTGTTCCAGGTTTGTTCTTCTGCAACACAACAGCCCTTGCCATAGTGAGAATATTCATTCACAATTACAATGACCAGCTGGGAATATTTGCATTTTTTTTTTTTTTTACATGAATCTACAGACAGGATATGTAATGAAGGAAATTAGATCAAGCGTTTTGCCCCAGGGCATGACAGCAGTGCTCTGCCTCTTCTGCAGGCACAGTCAAAACCCAAGCAACAAGTTTGGCTTTTTACAAAAGAGTGTATGTATGCTTGCATACTTGTTTGAGTGCCAAATCATGATACTAGCTTCATTTTACTCCATAAACTTATCACACAGCAGCATCAAGTTTTATTTGCTATGGTTAAAAATAGAAAAAGGATAGATGATATAATGGATAGAGAGTCGGACTTGCAACCCGAAGGTGAACCTGAAGGTCGTGGGTTCGAGTCTCAGGTCCGGCAGGGATTGTAGGGGGAGTGAATGACCAGCGCTCTCTTCCACCCTCAATACCACGACTGAGGTGAGACCATTGAGCAAGGCACCGAACCCCTGACTGCTCCCCGGGCGCCACAGCAAAAAAGGCTGCCCACTGCTCCGGGTGTGTGTTCACGGTGTGTGTGTGTGTGTGTGTGTGTGTGTTCACTACTGTGTGTGTGCACTTGGATGGGTTAAATGCAGAGCACAAATTCCGAGTATGGGTCACAAGTCACTTCACTTCACTTCATGAAGAATGTATCTTCTAATGTGCACCTTTGGAGGTTCCTAATCTGTACTTCTCCGGTAACATGAAACTAAAGAACTACACAAAGTTATCTAAAATGAGAAAGTTGTGTCTGTTGTGATGAGGAAATTTGCATTCCCTGTATAGCAGTCACATTCTCTATGACTTCAATAACAAAGGAGTGGTGTTCCCATTTGATTATTTAACAATTATGTAAGACTTCTGAGGAAAGATGTACATTAAACATGCCTGTGCCAGGTGTGTAGGCTGATGTATTTATTGCTATTCTGAGTACAAAGAAA